GCATTCCCTGATACGTAATTTAGACGTCGTTTTAGAATGGAAGGACATTTTTTCAACAAAATCATGATTGCTATTTGCAACCATGATTCTTACTTTGTGCAAAAAAATGATGTTTTTGGTGCTATGGGTCTTTTCCCTGAGGAAAAAATTATTACTGCCTTGCAGATACTTGCATATGAAGCATCTGCAGACCAAGTGGATGAGATAGTGAGGATGGGGAAATCAACCATTCTTGAGTCGCTGATGAGGTTTTGCGGAGCAATTAGATCTATCTACACCACATAGTACTTCCAGAGACCTACTAACATAAACTTGCAAAGGCTTCTGAAGAAGGGCGAGATGCGAGGTTTTCCTAGGATGATTGGAAGTATCAACTGTATGCACTGGACCTGGAAAAATTGTCCAAGTGCATGGCAAGGCACTTATGAGGACAGAAAATGAGCAAAAAGTATCATTTTAGAGGCGGTGGCATCTTTTGATACATGGATTTGGCACGCATTTTTTGGGGTTCCAGGAGCTCAAAATGACCTCAATGTTCTTACCCAATCCCCAGTGTTCAACGATGTCCTGCAAGGAAAGGCACCAAAAGTCACGTACTAGGTCAATGGACATAAGTATGACGGGCCATACTACCTAGCAGACGGCATTTACACAAGGTGGTCATCGTTTGTCAAAACAGTGCCACGTCCACGAAGTGCAAAGGAAAAACATTTTGCAAGCTGTCAAAAGGGGTGCAGGAAGGATGTAGAGCGTTGTTTTGGTATCCTCTAAGCTCGCTGAGCGATTGTCAGGGGTGCTGCCATAATGTTTGATGTAGAGTCGCTTCGATCCATCATGATGACGTGCATCATTCTTCACAACATGATTGTAGAAGATGAGTACGATTATGATGATGTTGATGAATATGAGCCAGACACGATGAACAATTCCAGAACACAAATATATTGTGTTCATGACGCCACCGAAGAACCCGTGCAACACGAGCCATTAGAAAGAGATGGACGTTACAATGAAAGGCTCATTCAACGATATACTGCACTTCAAAGGCCATATATGCACAATGCCTGACAAATTGACTTGATAGAGCACCAATGGGAATTGAAACAAGCTGAATATACTTAAGTTCATTTCATGTTTGTTTTTATTTGGTGTGTTTATTTAATTTTATTTGGTTTGTTTTTTTTTTAAGTTCATTTAGTGAGTTTTTTTATTATTTGGTATGTTTATGTAATTTTATTTGGTGTGTTTATGTCCTTTGAATAAAGATTCTCTTAGTATAAATAAATTTACTCTTACTTTAAATAAATAAAGTACTAAATTCAATAAATTGGAAACAACATAAGGTACTCAATTCAATAAATAATAAATTACAACCCAAAGTGATTGGAAAATTATGGGCTCCGATTACAAACAAGGTGATTGGAAAATTGTGGGCTCGTGAATGGCTCATCATCACCTAACCAATTTGTGGTGCTAGGATAATCTTCTCTTGTCGTGCTAGGGTCATCTCCTCTTAATTTCACTTCTCTTGCACGCCTCCTTCGCACCACGTCTGCTTTCTCCAACTTCCAAAAATATTTAGAATTCGGAGACTTCCCTCCTAAAGGTGTGTTCATAATGTCACAATCTTGTTGAGCCATTCTTTCTTCTCTAACATGTTCCTTTTCTTGCCTAAGTAGCTCTCTTTCTCTCTCATTAGCTTGAAATTCTCTCTCAACAGCTGTAGCTTTTGCCTCTTCTCTAGCCTTATCAGCCTCAAATTTAGCCAATTCCTGCGCCAAAGTCAATTCACCTTGGCAAGCAAGTTCTTACATATGCTTTGCATAATCATTCTTGGAAGCACTCTTTTTTCTCTTTGAAGCCTTCTTACCTTGAGGCCTAATTGGATAACGGGCCGACCTCGCCGCTTGTTCAGGGGGGGCGTTTTGGGCACTTCTTCTGTGTCATCTTCATGAACATGCGAGGCATGATCGGGTGTAGAGTGTAGAGGAGTGTTGTTCATGAAAACTTTTGGACCGATAGGCACAACTTTGAATTTATGACAGTCTTTGACAATATTCTAACATTCCCACTGGTTGAATGATTTGTTTTTCTTTTGGTTTTGGCATTATATCAAGCTTGTGCTTGAAGTTCCTACACAATGCGGGAGAAAAAATAATTATAATGAAAGTAGGTAACAAATAAATAATACAAACAAATGATTATAATGAAAGTAAGTGACAAATAAATAATTCAAACAAATAATTATAATGAAAGTAGGTAACAAATAAATAATACAAACAAATAATTATAATGAAAGTAGGTAACAAATAATTATAATCAAAGTAGCTAACAAATAAATAATACAAACAAACAATTATAATCAAAGTAGCTAACAAATAAATAATACAAACAAATAATTATAATGTAAATTTGGGTATGGTACAAACAAATAAATAATATATTGTTACCTAATCAGCTAAATTTTCCCCACTTCGAAGATTACTACTAGCTTGTGCCAAGGCGTCTCTCCACGTACTAAACGATTGGCTAAGTAATTTCCAACGACTAGACATCGATTCTTTGGTTCTTTTCCCACCAATTATCTCAAGAAAATTGGTATGAATAAGACTCCACATTTCTCGCAACTACATCTCATTACCCGTAATCGGATCATGAGTAACTTCATCCCAACTAGTCCACAACGCAACATCTTCTATAAGTGTCCAATTTGTACCTGCATCAGTAGTCATTTTGTTGGAAAAAAAATTGGATTGAAACTTTGAGCGAAAGATAGAAATATGGTTGAAAGTAGTTGAGAAAATATGAAATTGTGTTGTAAAGTAGAAGATAATGAGAAGGTATATATAGAAAAGTAAAATCAATTTTTTTTTTAATTTTTCAAATTTTTTTTCGGATTTTATTTAATTTTTTACATTTTTTTTAATTTTTTTATTCACCTAATTAATCTCTACTGTTGGATTTAAAAAAAAATTGAATTCCAACACTCCAGATTGTGCCATGTGGCACAACGGTAAGATTTCTGATTTTTAAACTTTTTTTAATTTATAAAGGCGAATAACGTGGACCGTTGATCTCAGATCCAACAGCTGATATTAAATAAGGTTTTTTTTATTTTTTTTACCGTTGGAAATCCAATGGTCCATAAATTGTAGCCGTTGAAATCCAACGGACGTGGGGAAGCCATGTGGCCTCCCCAACGGTAACATTTCCGAGTGCGCCGCGGGCCCTAGGCCTAAAATTCTGTCGGATGACACGCGCCCACGCACGCTTGAAGCCCACGTGCCTGACGCAAAAAAATATAAAAAATGTGGCTGACGTCGTCCTGACGTCAACCCACGTCACATTGCCTTCGGGCGCTCGGGTCAGCGACTCATGTCGGGCCTCTCCCTCAGGCTCGCTCGCCAGCACACGTTAGGCTTCATCACTCGGGCTCTTTGGCCCTGTTCCTACACCTGTCCCTCAGGCTAGAGCACACGATGGAAGTGCTCTTACTGCACATGTGAACTTCGAGTCTACGGTGGTCGGTCGGGTGGATCAAAGGTCAATTTTGACCCTTACTTCTGATCGATTGAGAATGACGCAGGTTGGCTTGTGTACGAAATTTCAACCCCATCCTCTACAAATCTTTTGTCAAGCCTTGCTATTTGCCTCTTCCTAGGTTTTGATGGGGTGGTTCTTGCGGGAAGGAGTAGTTAGACTTAAGAGTTCCAAGTGTTTGTTCTATTTTGAGCCTAAACCTTTGTTTTGGGCTCTTTATTTTGTTGTTTGGTTGGTCACAGGTTCTGGGCTTTTTATTTTGTTGTTTGGTTGATCCATACGAAATGTGCTTCACTTTGTATTTGGTTTATGATAATGAATTATCATTTCCATAAAAAAAAAAATATCCAGCTATTTGATTATTAATTTAAATGAATCTTTAATGAAAATGACTACTCCAAACTTTTTCTTAACCAAAATCACCCTAATAACTTTATTTAACGGAAATGATACAAATTACATACAACAAGCCTAAATATTAAAGACCCATGGGCTGGAAAAAACGTCCAACACGCAGCCCTCCAATTTTTGTTTCCAGTCCTGCCCTAATAGACGTTAGCCCATATCCGTCAAACTATTGCCACTATTTCTAGAACTAGACACTACATTTTTTCTAGAACTGAACACAACCATTATTTCTATAACTGAACATTACCATTATTTCTTGAACTGAACGCTGCGACTAACACTATTTCTAGAACTAAACACTACGACTGCCACTATTTCTAGAATATAACACTGCCACTATTTCTAGAACTTAATATTGCCACTATTTCTAGAATTTAATACTTCCACTATTTCTAGAACTGAACACTGTCACTATTTCTAGAACAAAATAAGTAAGTACCAATTTTGAGAAAGCACTTACATGGAAAGGAAGCCCATGAGGAGAGGATTAAACTTCTCTCTTGGGTCGAGGACTGCTTCTGTCATGTTTGGTCAAAAATAGGCAAAAATGGCCGGAAAAACGTCATTTGGAGAGCTCGATTTCATTGAATATTGAGTTTTGACATGTGGGTCTTGTATTAGAAGAAAGAGCGAATCAGTACGAACTCGTAACCTCTGATCTTGGGTGATTTCGTTACCATCCGGGTGACTTATGAAGAATCTAAGATTGTAAAGAATAAAATGAGAGGGAGGAACACAACCACCATCAGCCGCTGTGTGTCTAGCGTGAACCAAATAAACAGCAAAAGTCTTGCCGTCAAGGGCAAAATAAAAGAACTAATTGTTTGGGCCAGTTTTATTAAGATAGTTTGATGTTGGATTTATCCTAATCATTAAATAAAGTTATTAAGATACTTTTGGTTAAGATTCAAAGTTTTAAAATAGATTTGTTCTAACCAAAAAATAAAGTTATTAAGATGTTTTTCGTCAAGATTTAAAGTGTTGAAACCCTTTTTATTAGTTTTTTTCAAATTTAAAAGCACAATGATGTTTATATGATTGCATCACGCGTGTAGTAATTGGTTTTGACAATAATACTAGAAGCTGTTTATGCTGCGATATTCAAGTTAGTTGCTTATTTTTCTCCTCTGCTTGGCGAGTCCTTTCTCTTTGCATGAGAGGTTTTCTCACTTTGTGTGAGTTCTTCCAATTCTGGCAACTCGTTCAACCGCCGGCCTTAGCTTTGGCCATGGTCGGTGGCAGCCCCCTTCCCTTTTCTTTTCTTGTTCCCCCTCTGTCTACTCTCTGTTTCCCAGTCCCTCGTGCCTCTTATTTAACCGTTCTTTGCCCCGATCAGAAAGTTTCCATTTCCGAACTTTTTCTTCTTCTCTCGCTGTCTTTCCACCTTCATGCTTTCAATCACTTTCTTTTCTTTCTCTCCCACTTGGCTTCGCCCTCTCTCGATTCCACAATTGATCTGATCTGCAACCTTTTCGTTCCACCGTGTTTCGCGACTTTATCACAAGGTGTGTAGAGCTCCGACCCGAGTGTTCACACCCCCGCTTTTCATATATGTTTTGGTTACGGTACTGTTGCATGTGGAGGTAATTTCCCACTGGTTTCCTTCTCAGTTTCCTTTCCTTGGTGGCTGCGAATTCGTTCTTATGCAGGGAGGCTGGTTCGTGATCGGCGGCAAGTGCTCCGGCGGCGGTAGAGGAACCGGGACGGGGTTTCTTTCTGCGTTTTTCTGTTTTGGGATAAACTCTTAGGTAAAACAGTGCATGTAAAACGGTGTCGTTATACTTGATCAAAATTGGATATGACGCTGGCTAAAACGATGTTGTTATTTATGTTCTTGGATTCTCCCTTACTTTATTCAATTCAAATGTGAGAAATAAACAGAGGCAAGCATAAAAAGAAACAAAGCGTGTCGAAATCATTCCCTTCTCAATGTTGACTTTGGCAAGGGCATAACTGCTGGTGTATAATATGTTTGTTTTAAAAAATGATGTTTGTTCTTACTGGTAGGGGGTTATTAGTTTTGAAAACGTCGGTCGTACTCACAAGGCTCCCGCTTTACGCAGGGTCTGGAAGAGGTGCAGACTTTAATTTGATAATTAAGCTGCAGAGTGTTCGGGCTTGTTTGAAATGCTTATCTAAACGGCACTTCATATAAAAGCGCTTATCCAAACAGCACTTTTGCTCATAAACGCTTTAATACCAAGCAATTATATTCCCCCAAAAACCCTTGGATCAAAATGTTGTTCCAAAATTCTCATTTGCTTCAGGAACAGCTTCTCCAATGTATCAATGTCAAAAAGAAAAGCACTTGATATTAAATACTGTACAGAAGAAGTGGAACTCTCCTTTCCGGTGTTTCGGTTGTGTGGAATATACAACGAAACGCTTATAAGGGTTTATATTACAACAAATGGGAACAATTAATGGAGAAAACAAAAAAGATTGCAATCCGAAAAACCAAGTTAAGCTCGACAGAGAAACCTAATTTCATTGGGGCAAAAAAAAAAGATTGACAGAAATGATACTTTCTCTACCTTAAGCTTTCAAAAAAAACCCCTGGAATCGATTATTTACTCTTGAACAATAAATTCATCGATAGCCCTATCGAGGAAGGGTTGAACGCTTGGATGAACTTCCGAGGTGGAGCTGCCAACGGGTCCTCTCTATTTGTTTTCTTTCTCCTTGAAGGCCCTCCAACTGCTCCCATGCTTTTAACAGATGATGAAGATTTTGTGTTGAAAATTGTTGATCCAAATGAAGCATCCGTCGTGAGAAATGAGAGCGGGCCTTTATGTGACGCATCTTGTGGGTATCCGACGGCACCATCCTGATGTGGGGGTGGGAATTTCTCACTCTTGCTCTTGGCATTTGCTTGTGTCTTCACTCTCCACCTCTGGAAATCAGCAAAGATTTGAGTATAAGTTTGCTGAGAGACAAGTACTATCCAAACTTAATTAAGGCATGACACTGCAACTGTTCGCAAACTGAATGTCCTTGTGGTGACTACTCTCTTTCCCAACCAATGCCAAAGCATAGCAATATCAAACTGGGAGGAAAATTTGTGGCTGATATGTTCATATAGCGGTGATGGTGCCCAATATAAACTGATGTAATGATCTAATACCATCGGATCAACCCCATTACTTAATATTAAAGAAAATTGACATGGTCAAAAAGATCATCACCATATTCTATTAATCAAGTTCAGTTCATGCTACATAAAGAAACGTCAAAGGTCAGGCTCAACCTAAAATTCATAAAACCTAACCTAAAACTAGAGAGGATTTCAATTCCTGGTTCATGTCTCTATAATGCAGCGAATAGGGAAAAAAGAAGTCGTTGACACGCAGAGAGATAAAATCTGGATGCAACTAAGAAAGGTACTCTTACAATTCAACCGTTCGTACTGGCATATGGTGAGAAGGCTATACAGTTTGACTCAGAATTTTGAAGAGCCCAAATGACATTCCAGAAATAATAAGGCTATTTCTAATTTGAAGGAGTGGGGTAAAGTGTGTGTGCAGGGGTGGGTGGGTATGGGTGTGTGTGTGTGTGTGTGTGTGTGCGCGCGTGTGAGAGAGAGAGAAGCTTCACGTACATCTACGTTTCCTTGAGCCTCTGCATTAGCTTCTGGAGCTGGAATTGCCCGACCTACTCGATCACGAGCTTTAACTCTCCTGGGACCTTCAGCAGCATTTTGTTTCCCACTTAGACCTCTTTGTCTGAGGACAACAAATATCATCTGTTATCATATGGCTCAAATGAGTCTAGAAAGCAGCAAACCTGAAGAAAAGTAAAAGAGTAACCTTCTAGCTTCTTCATCTCGTAACTTTACATCCATTTCTTTGGCGGGGGGATATTTTGGTAGACTTGATGGCTCACAAGCAAAAGGTTCGGTAGTAAAGTACTGTACCCAGATCACCAAATATGCAATTAGACACAATAAAAATCTGGCACAGCCAGCAGGTCAATTTATTGTAAAGAACTCGGTCAGCATTAAGCACTTGCTAACTTCAAGACGGTGATATATCTTTATTTTGGCAAGAAACATAATTTTCAAGAAGATTTTCAGTAGACACTGAATGCCACAGAGTCATTGAACTAATTAACCACTGTGATGATTCTTTTCTTTTCTTTTTCTTCTGATGGGAGGTCATGTTTTACTTTTCAAAATACAAACTTAGCTTCACAGTTATTGTTTCCTCAGAAAAATTGGAATTATATAGAGGGCACTTACTTCACTATTTAGAGCAGCGGTGGCAGTGCCTCGTCCATCAGGATCTAGTGACAGAAGAGATTCAACTAAAGGTAGAGAAGAAGGTGGGAAATCCTTGAATGTTTCCCCTACACAACGCTTGTATGGCTGCTGTGGCTTAAAAAGTGTTGCATTTGGCAATTTATATTTTTTCCAGTATTCCTCAGAGGGGGAGCCACATAACTTAAATATCTTATGCAGTTGTTCAACCTATACAAGAAAAGAACTTAACAGTGTTTGTCAAACTGAAATCACACGATTGAACAGAAAATGACAACAACAAGAACATCAATGAAGAAGATTCAAAAGTTCAAACCATATACACGAGACAAGAATAATCAATCATTGTATTTTACTGGTGGACTTACAAGTAGAAGTGGACCAAATGTGAAAATGCAAAACATTTTCCAAATGAGTGGAGCTACATCATTACTCAAGAACCGGGAATAACCGATCAACAGGAACAGAACTGATAACCTAAAGAGAACACCAACTTATAAACAAAGTACCTCTGTCCGTCCTGGCATAACAGGCTTCCCGGAAAGTAACTCTGCCAAGATGCAACCAGCGCTCCAAAGGTCAACTCCAACTCCGTAGAAAGTGGCCCCAAGAAGAAGTTCAGGCGGGCGGTACCAGAGAGTGACAACTCGACTAGTCATGGATTGCCTCTTCTCAGGATCAAAAAATGTAGCCAATCCAAAATCAGCTATTTTTAAAATTCCTTCGTCGTCAATTAACAGATTGGAACCCTTGATATCCCGGTGTAAGACACCATGGTTGTGACAATGCTCAAGCCCAGACAGCAGTTGTTTCATATAGCACTTGACCTGCCACAACGAATATCTTGAGAAACGAACCAGCCTCTCAATGTCATAGTTCTATGCATGTGAAATGAAGAGCCACACAACTCAGATTCAAATGGCACATAAAGCCACCTACAAGCCTCCCAACAAAGATGTTACCTTACTTTCTGTAAGATACAGTTTTAAGCCATTTATCAATTTTTTTCAAGTAAGCCCCCATTTTAACCCCAAATATCATCCTAAAGCTACGAAATATTTTGTAATATAACTGAAACAGTTGATCTTTTGTGAACAAAAGTTTGGCATAACTACCTCACAGAAAGAAAGAAAGAAAAGGAAAAGGGAGCTTGAACCAATCTAATATCTATACCAAATACTTGTATAATTTTGATCTCAGTGGAGTTTCAGGTATACTTCAGCTGTAGGTAATGGAATTTTAAATTCAACTTCTTTCTTCACGTGTAATCAAAACAATAAAAAGAACTAAAGACATTCCTTTCTTCCATGAGCTTCTAACCAATTCCAACTTTTTAATAAAGTGATGCGAGCAACCAAAAATTTGCCCGAAATCACCTACCCCAAATGATACCATAACATCATATGACTTGCCCGACGCATATAAATCATAAATCTGGAATCCCAAACTAGCAACTATGGGACCCAATACAGCCTAGAAAGCTCTCAGGTTAACATCAAAAGCTAACAAAAAGGACACCCACGGGCACGAGTTCAAGAACAAAAGTAGACAACAAAACCAAAACACATAAAAAAACCCAGAAAAGCAGACACCAAAAGTCCAACTCAAAAGCTCCAAACCCACCAACAATTCAAAGATTTATACACACTAAACCCAACAACAATCCAATCCAAATCAAAATCAACAACACGAAGCGTCGACTTCAAGTACTAATTGAATCGAAATCCAAAATGTACCTGAGGCTCGGTGAATTTCACCCCGGAGGTGGCGGCGAGGCCCGAGAGATCGTGCTCCATATACTCGAAAACCAAGTAGAGGCTGCAGGACATTCTTGAAGTGACTAACCCTTCAAGCTTAATCACATTGGGATGGTCAAGTTTTCTGAGCACATTGATCTCTCTGGCCATGAATTTCACACTCTCTGGCTCCAAATTATCAAACCTAACCTTCTTTAATGCCACTATCTTACCACTAATCAAGTCCCTTGCTTTATACACATTGCTATAAGTCCCTTGCCCAATCTGAACGAAAATTATATTAAAATAAATAGAATTCAGATAAATTAAAATAAAAATATATATAAATTCAGAGAAATTAAATTCAAACCCGATAAAGTTACGATTTTGAGCACCTTAGCGAGCTTCTCGAACGTGTTGGCGCGCCGAGGGGTCCATCCCTGGATCGCGTCGCCGGCGACGGCCAAGAGCCACGACGGCCAACCTTCCTGGTTCGCCGGGGAAGGCTTCCGCCGCTCGATCGCCGGGAAATCGCCAGTGTGATTGGCTCTATCCGCCCTCTGCCTCGCTACCACCTCCTTTTTATCGGCCCTAACCGCCGCAACTCGCTCGGTGGCGCCGGATGGCTCCTCGATGCTCCGGCGACGACGCCGAGCTTCACCGGAACCCCGAGTACTCCCGGCAGACGCGGCCTCCGTGCCCAAAACGCACCCCATCGTCTCAGCTGCAGGAGCCCCGACGACTCATTTAGGGTTAAAGATATCAGTCGATCGCAGTCAGGCGTCGTTTTAACAGTTGGCAGTTTCTTCAAGCTCTCGCGTACTACCGTACAGTAACGGACTGTCACATGGATGACGTCCGATACGGCGTCGTGTCCGCGAACTGAAATGGAAACCGCGGCGGGAGGTGGCGGTTTTAACGACGGCGGTAAGGACAAACGGGGAGAGAGAGAGGGCGTTTGTGATTCAGCTGGGGAATCAAATAGCGGTCTGATGGAGTTCAGTGTCTGTCATCAGAGTGGGAGAGTATCCTTGTCCGCTGGTGGGAAAAATTGAGCCATGGGTTTGGGTTTAATAACGGAAATACCAGTGGTGCTGCTGGCGGATCTAATCGGCAGATTTTTACGATTTACCGCGGGCGGGAGAGGGAGAGAGAGAGAGTTAGAGGGAAGGGGACAAAACAGAAAAGCTGGTGTGACATGAAATGTAAAATTTGGTGGCTTGTGAAATGTTAAGAAGATATTCTCAGATTTTTTTATGAATTGTTTCATAATTTTTTATATAATTTTCGTGTTAACATTATAAATTATTGTACTAAAAACATGAGGTATTTCTCAAGCTACAAGAGAGCTACAAGGGCAAGAGGAGCAACTCATGGCATTTCGTGCCAATAATATAAAATTTGTATATTACTTTTCAAATAATATTGTATTAGTGACACCAAACGTCATTGTAGTTGTGTGTGTACCCCTCCAATATATATTGTGTATCCGTACAATACAAATTACTCTCCTAAGAAGAAGAGTAGCCATGAAGGGACCAGGATGGTTCCAGACCCATCTTGACATTTTTTCCATGCAAAAAATTTTAGTGTTATGCTTGTAACTCTAAAGGCTTTTTATAGGCTTAGGGTCCCAAACTCCTAATCCAACGCTTTTACTTTAACTTATTTCATCGGATTTGATTTGAGATGCGTGGCTCCTACAGATATTCGCTGCTTGTGAGATTTTAGGAGGACTTTGGTGTGGGATCAGTGGAGGGAGAGAGGAAGAAAGTCAAAGAGGCTTGGAGTTTAGGTTTAAAGAGGAGAATGATAGGGATACCATACTCAAACGACGGTGGTCGATTGCTCACCACACGACAATTATTTTTCTAAGATCCAAGGAGCATTTCAGAATCAGACTTTTAGGTCCCACCTAAGTTAAAATCCTAACTTCGCCACTACTTCTAAAATTAGTGATAAAGAGAAAATTTTACATAAAATAAGTTTATCATCACATACATTTAGACCTAATAATACCTTATAAATTGTCATATGTGTTATAAATAGGCAAAAGTTAGAGAGATAACCTTTATAAGGACAAGAACGAAGCAGATGCAAAATATCACACTATAACTTTAGTAGCTATAACACAAAAAGGATGGCAGATAAAGAAAGGAATACTGATATTATTTCTCTTGCTTTCTTTCGCAGTGTGTTTGATAACAGACGGAGTGCTCTATTTATAGAGCGACTCTCGTAACTACAACCATCAAAATATAATGATGATACTTTTGAAAGTATCAAACACTATTACTAAGTCTTTACAACTTTGAGTGGGCATTCATTATTCATCCACTAATTATATAACACTCCATCTTGGATGCCCACATATCAACGTCAGTTGCCTCGTTAAAACCTTACTCAGAAAACCCCAATGGGAAAAAACCATAACGAAGGAAAAAGAGTACAACTTTACCTGGATTGTTGATATAGTGTTAAGTATGCTTATGTTGTCTCGTTAAAACCTTGATAGGAAAAACCCAGTGGGAAAAATCCTAGTCGAAGGAAAAAGAGTACAACAAGCATGTATCATGGATGCTTCCCCTGATATTTATCTTCCCCTGATTCCACATTCTTCAAATTTAGCTTACTAGTGAGTCGACGTGATCCGATAATCTACACTAACTTCTGAAACGTGCACTTTGGTAGAGACTTGGTGAACAGGTCTGCCAGATTTTCATTGGAACGGATTTGTCTGACTTCAATAACTTTAGCTTTCTGAAGCTCATATGCACTGAAAAACTTTGGAGATATGTGTTTAGTCTCATCGTCCTTAATGAATCCTTACTTCATTTGGGCAACACAAGTTGCATTATCTTCATGGATGACAGTTGGATTGTCTGCCTTCGAAGGTAGACCACATGAATTCCGGATATGATGGATTATTGATCTTAACCAAGAACATTCACGACTTGCTTCATGTAAAGCAAGTATTTCTGAGTGATTTGAAGATGTAGCAACTAATGTTTGCTTTGTTGAGCGCCATGAGATTGTTGTATCTCCATTCTTGAACACATATCCAGTTTGTGAGCAGGCTTTATGCGGATCAGAGAGGAAACCAGCATCTGCATATCCAGCAAGGATCTAGTCATTTGTGGATTTCTTTTAGTAAAAGAGACTCATGTCTATTGTCCCAAGAAGGTATCACAAAACATTTTTGACTCCTTTCCAATGACGAATTGTTGGAGCAGAGTTATATCTTGCTAACAAGTTAACTGAAAAAGCTATATCTGGTCTAATACATTGTGCTAAATACAATAAAGCACTTGTTGCACTTAGATATGGTACTTCTGGACTAAGGACAATTTCATCATCTTCTTTTGGACATAATGGATCTTTCTTAATGTCCAAAAAACAAACGACCATTGGTTTACTGAGTGGATAAGCTTTGTCCATGCCAAATCGCTTCAGGATTTTTTCAATGTAAGATGATTGGTGGACCAAAATTCCATTAACACAATGCTCGATCTGCAAGCCGAGACAATATTTTGTTTTCCCAAGGTCTTTCATTTCAAATTCGTTTTTCAGATATTCAGCAGTTTTATTGAGCTCTTCAGGAGTTCCAACTAAGTTCATATCATCAACATATACTACCATTATAGCAAATCCAAAATTGGATTTCTTAATGAACACACAAGGACAAATGACATTGTTGATATATCCTTCTTTGATCAAATATTCACTGAGACGATTATATCAAATTCGTCCAGATTGTTTCAGCCCATACAATGATCGCCTTAATTTGATCGAGAGCATACCTCATGGTTTGTTAGTTGTTTCAGGCAACTTAAGTCCTTTTGGGACCTTCATATATATGTCAGTATCTAATTCTCCATATAGATACGCAGTAATGACATCCATAAGTCGCATGTCAAACTTTTCTGAAACCATTAAACTTATTAAGTAACGGAACGTAATTGCGTTCATTATAGGAGAATATGTATCCTCATAATCAATTCCAGATCTTTATGAAAAGCCTTGTGCAATGAGTCGTGCTTTCGTTTTTCTCATTGCGTTTTCTTGTGAATACCCATTTGTAACACATGGGATTTACATCAGGCGGAGTTTGGATTACCGATCCAAAAACATTTCGCATTTCCAAAGAATTTAATTATGCCTGGATTGCATCTTTACATTTAGGCCAATCTTGTCTCTGTTTACATTCATCAACAGAGCGGGGCTCAATATCATCACTTAATATGATTTCAGGGGCTACTGTGAATGCAAACATATTATCGATGATTATTTCATTCTGATCCCACAATTCATTTGTATATGCATAATTTATGGAGATTTCTTTGCTCTTATGTATTGTTGTCTCTTCAGGGACATGTGTCTCATCAAGGACATTTTCTTTTTCTGGAAGTCCAGAATCATGAATTGTGGATTTGTCATTCATTCTCTCTTCCGGAATGATTTCATTTAGATTTAGTTGTGTCATTGTCTTTCTCTTTCGATTGGCTGAATCTTTTGAACCTGGGAGTCTACCACGCTTCAGGCGTGCACCAGATGAATCATTCGCTGCCACTTTATTTTGTCCAACAGTGACATCAATTTTTGCAGGTGCATTTGCAGCTGGTATATGTGATTTTGTCACTTTCATAGCATCATTAAATGCATCTGGCATTTGATTGGCAATACTTAGAAGATGAACGATTATTTTCACTTCATTTTCACATTGAATGCTACGTGGATCAAAATTATACAAGGTGGGTACAACTCATGTCAACTCTTGCCATTCTTCTAGAACGGTCTTTTCTCCCCCTAATGGCGGGAAGACTGTCTCATCAAAGTGACAATCAGCAAAACAAGTTGTAAACATATCACCTGTCAGGGGTTCCAAATATCTAATGATAGATGGTGAATCAAAACCCACATAAATTCCCAGTCTACGTTGAGGTTCCATTTTAGTGCGTTACGACGGTGCAATAGGCACATAAACAGCACAACCAAAAATTCGTAAATGTGAAATGTTTGGTTGATGCCCAAACACGAGTTGTACTTGGGAGTATTGGTGGTTGGCTATAGGTCTCAATCGAACTAATGATGCAGCATGTAAGATGGCATGTCCCCATGCAGAAACTAGCAATTTTGTTTTCATGAGTAGAGTGCGAGCTATTAGCTGAAGTCGCTTGATCAATGCTTCTGCTAAACCATTTTGAGTATGAACATGAGGAACAAGGTGTTCAACATCAATGTCCAATGTTATGCAGTAATCATCAAAAGTTTGAGATGTAAATTCACCAGCGTTATCCAATCGGATTGACTTAATGGGGTAATCTGGAAACTGTGCTCGTAACTTAATTATATGAGCAAGAAGTCTCGCAAAAACTACATTTCGAGTAGACAAGAGACAAACATGTGACCATCTAGTAGATGCATCAACCAAAACCACAAAATATTGAAATGGTTCACAAGATGGTTGAATAGGTCCATAAATATCCCTTTGAATTCTTTGTAAAAATGATGGGGATTCAGCATCAACCTTTAGTTGTGATGGTCTAATTACCAATTTCCTTTTAGAACAAGCTTTGCAAGGGTTATCATTTGAGATAGCAATGTCTATACTCAATAATGGATGTCCATTATAGTTGGTAATGATCCTACGCATCATGGTGGATCCTGGATGACCCAAATGGTCATGCCAAAACATGTAAACTTTTGAATCAATGAACTTCTGGTTCATGACAGTATGTGATTCAATTGTCCTTATGTATGTATAATACAATTCACTCGACAAACCACGCAACTTCTCCAATATACACTTCTGGGTATCATTAGAGGTAATGCTTAGATACTCTACATTTTCTGCACTTTTCATTGCAATGTGGTATCCATTTAAACGTATGTCTTTGAAACTCAACAAATTTTGATTAGATCGAGTAGCATACAATGCATTCTGTATGGACAATATTGTTCCATTTGGTAACATAATCTGGGCTTTCCCAAGCCTTCAATTACATCTTATTGGCCTGATATTGTTGTTAACCTTACTCTTGTAAGCATTAAGATTGAGAAATACTTTCGATCACGACGTATTGTATGTGTGGTTGCGCTGTCTACAAGACAAATATCTCCGTCATTTCTCATGTTTTGAGAATAACCATAGTTTTTGTCCATGCTTTCTGAG